CTTGTGAATAACACTTGCCTAAAATGTGCTAGTCTCCTTTTTTTTAACAAAGGGAGCAAGCCTCAGACTTAGTGCCAGCACTGGCAAGAGCATCAACGTAGAATTAAATAATCTTCTTTTCACTGCATTTATTTTCACACTTACCATCTTCTATGGCAAACGATAGTCTTTCCCTTTACGGTTCTAGTAAGGTTTCCTTTGTAAATAGATTTATTTAAATAAAAGTGGTTTGATTTAAAGAAAAATATTAAGTAGAACTAAGTCAGCAAATAATAAAGCTAGAACAGGATTAAGTTTGTGAAAAGGTGGCTGAGCCAAATGTCACAACTGAGGCCTTGCTCAGAGATTCAGGATGATCTAAAAGGCAAACAAGTGGATCAGCCTAACTAGTCTGAGGCAAATACTTCAACAGCTGACATTCGAGCAGGGTTTTAATTAATTATAGAGATTCTAAATGTGGCATCATCAGAGCTGAATTAACATCGTTAAATCTATTTCCCCTACGTAAAATCACCCCGTGTCTGCACAAAAGAGAGAGAAAAATTAAGGTATTCCTCACAAGCAAACGTAGTGAAGCAGCAGAACTGAGCAGTGCAAGCAAGTATCCTATGCAAACACCAGAAAGCTCTCTCAGCATACAACCCCAAAGGCACCCCAAGTCAAAGCCTAACCCTAGCTAATCCCACCTGTTCAGATCCGAAGTAAAAGTATGTAAATGTACGCAAATAGGACCATACAGTTTATGCTAGTCAGTAGCCAGATTAGGTCCAACACATTTATCATTAACTAACTGATCAACTAAGATTCTCACTTCAAAAGAATGGTGCTTCTGGCCCTAAGGAAAGTCACCAACTTTCATACTTAAAGTTTTAGAGGCAATTAATGTGACACTTCCATCACATAAATACAAGAATTTAAAACTCATTTAAAAAAAATAGGGGCCTCCCTTCCTGCCATCTTTGATAGACTCAACAAATCTGAGTGCTGTTCTGCATCAGTCACTATGCCAGGCACTGGGAGGACAAAGCAGAAGCTCTGCCAGAGTGGTCTCTATCTGCCATGAAAGCAATGCATCCCCGCAGGCCTGTGTGTCAGACCAGCCCAGGGAGCTGTTTAAAATGCAGATTCCTGGGTCCTACCCCTAGAGATTCCAATTCAGTGCCTCTGGAGTGGGCCTTGGGAACCTGCCCTTTTAGAAAGCTCCCCTTTGATTCAGATGCACAGCAGGTTTGGGATCCACTGATTCAAATCATATTTTTAAATCTGAAATTAGTGGTAAGAAACACCTTGCTCTTAAAAATACTGAGTAACTGAAAAGAAATATGAGGCATACTGGAGTATTTCAAAACACTAAAAAAAATCAAGAAAACATGGTATTACTATGTAGTTTTCTAGAAAGAAAGCAATATATACTATGAAAGCAATTTGACTATGAAAAACTGGAAATGCCAAAATGACACTACAATCACTCACTATTGCTGCTCAAGTGGAAATTCTGGTTAATTGTTAATTCTCAAAAAGGCAGCTCAGCTAGCAAAAAAGTGCATGGCCTCTTCCTACTCTGGATAATAAGATGCTCGCCAATTAAGAATAATTTTACCACCAACATAAACTGATTTACAAGCCTTGCTGCCATTGAGTGTCCTTCCTGTCCTGGCAGCAGTGGTTTTAGAGAAACTGCCTGTTGGATTTTGCAGGAACTGCTCATTTATTCATAAAAGTCACAGATAAGTATCACAGATGAATATCAGCAATACATGAATTCATAGATTACCCACGTTTCCACCAATTTCATCGAAAGGTAAGAAAATGAAATCTCTTCCTTGACAGGTATGGGTTCTTCCTAATACTGTAATAAACAGACTACAATGTTCATTCAGAGAGATTCAGAATTTGAAAAACTTTTTTTGTTGTTGTTAACTGTGGAAAACAAGAATGCAAGAATTGGCTTTCTGGAATTTCAACACAAAAAAGAAAGGGTTCCAAAGCTACTTTCCTATCACAACTCTGTCCCCAAAAGACAGAAAAGACAGTGGCAGCACCAGAAAGGATTCTTGATCTTGGGGACCCTGTCTACCTCTCCATCCCTCCAGGTGAGTGGGGTGTCATTCCACAGCCACCACATGGTGCCTCCTCCACCTCGTGCAGTTACTCCTCCACACCCCCACCCACCTCCAAGCCTTCTCTGCCTACCACTGCTGCCTCAAAGAGAGAATTCCTTCCACATTTCCCAGCAGAATCCCTCTCTCTGAGCACTTGGCCCCCATCTTTCTCAGGGACTTTTACATCTTTAATATTTCCCTTGCCACTAAAGGAACCTCAGCCCCTCACCCAGTGGCTTTATCAGTCAAATCTCCTGCTTAGCCATAAAAAATACTGGAGTAGGTGAATCCTACATTCACACTTTCTCATTTGCATGTTTAAAGTGTTTAGGTTAACTTCTCCCCGCTCCCTTTTTTTTTGAAAAACAAACAGAAGTTTAATAACATGCATACCTTGTGTATACATGGGAGATACCCAGGGAAAATGAGCAACTCTCAAAGTGGTGGCTTAAATATCATCTGTAACTGAAACAAAGAAAGAAGGGTGTGGAGAAGCCCATAAATGGGTAGGTATCCAGGAGAAGTAAGGTGAACAAGAGTAAGGTTTGTTATGCAGATTTATGTCAGTGAACTTCTTCCCTTTCTTATTCAACAAGTATCTTACTAGGAGACACTGTGCTGGAGACTGATATAGAGAAAAGATAGAAATATTTCTGCCTAAGGCAGTCATGGAAGAAGTAAATAACACCTTTAAATGTTTCCTCTTGCACTTCATTCTAAACCACTCTACCCATCAATTATGTGGAGTACCACTAAGTCACATCACTCTGGTTCGGAAAAATCTGTAATAGGTTTCTATTGACACATCATCACCAGGGCACTCTGATGGGCAATGAGGTCCTGTGAGTTAGTCCCAACCTGCCTTTACACTCAGCTCATGCACATGTGGGTACGTCAGCTCTGGCCAATGATGACTCGTGCAGTACATTCCAGAGAGCCTGAAATTTCCTGCCTCCAAAATTGCTCACATCAACCCCATTGATGGGTACATCAGCCCAGGGCCACCAAATATAGTTGTTCAGTGCACAAACTGTGCAGCCATATGTGGCAGCCCTGTCTATCCCCATCGAAACACTCCCCATTTTAGCAGATTATGGGTGTTTTTCAAAAAACATTTTTTGGATTTTCCACAACAGACATGTATTCTGTGTCCAAAACTTGACAAAAAGAAAAAAAAATACACATGGGAAAAATAATCCATTCTTCATTTCAAACCTTAATGTGAAGGCTATTTTCTCTAAAAAGTATTCTGAGTTATTTGTCAAGAAGCAGTCTATGCTCTTCCTTATTCTTAAGATCTTGGACTGTCTTATGACTTTAGACACACACCTTCCTGCATCTACAACTGTACCTTTTTCTCTCCCCCCGCCTCATGTTTATTATGTACTACACACTGAATTAGGGGCTTTACCCATGTTATTTCATTTAATCCCCGCCAGGAACCTATGAGGTTGGTATTACCACCCCTGTACTATAACAAAGGAAGCCAAGATTGGATAACTTGTCAAGGCAAAGAACTAACCTAAGATTCTTGCAGTTTTAAATTAAAATCCAGTCTAGTCTGCCTTCAAAATCTTTAAGTCCAAAATATTTGGCAACTGCTTTTTCTAATGATAGCTTCTGAGAGTCTTAAGCAGAAAGTTAATATCTTATTCACCTTTGTACTAACTCTGGGCCTACCCCAGGGCTTTGCCCAGAAGCAAGAACTCAAAGGACCTTTTTTTGATTAAATAAAACATATATTCCTCTGAAAAAATGGCGGGATGTTGATTATGATGGTGTGACTCTTAAAAGAAGTCACAACAGTACCAGTTGTAAGGTCTAGCTTTAAAACGTATCTCAGAGCTGTGCAATGTCTCCAGCTTTGCTGCTCCATCTTATTCTAGTCTAGTGTCATCTGTTGCCTCCCAACTGTTCTCCCTGCTTCTACTCTTCTCTCACTGTGTTACTCCCTTAAGTAAACACTCTAATGTCCCTAAGCAGCTTCTTATCCTGAATAATTAAGTTCCTGCCTTTAAGGCTGGATTCCTCTAGTTTCTACCCGCCTTTCTCTAACTACCCTCCAGCCACACTGGCTTTCTTTGGGTCTGTGTGCTGGCTGTTCCCTCTGCATCAAAGGCTCTTATTCCACACTGCTGCCTGGGTTGCTCCTTCTCATCACTTAGGGCTCAGCTCCAGTGTCACCTCCTGAAATGCTTTCTTTAAACACTTTACTACAGAAGAACCCCATCGTTATTCTGTTTCAAGCTTGCATTTACAGTAGTAACAGCAATGAGGAAACAACTTAGCAGTTATTTTAAAAATGTGTCTAGTTACTTTTGCCTGTCGCTCCAATTAGATTGTAAACTACATGGAGGTAGGAATCATACTACATACATACTCAAAGTCTGAAACAAGGTAGGCACTTCTGATTTATTATTAAACCAAACTTAAATACTGCAGGTGGCACTGTAACAATGTCAGACAACCTTATTTGAACTCTTTGATGATTAGCACTGCTGAATTTGGAAGTTTCAAAATCATACTTCCTTCTAAAAAGATCGTGCCCATATTGTGAGTGTATATATAATTTTAAAATCCACTGAATTCACAACCAGGGGCTCTCTAAAAGGAAATAAACCTGTAACTATACTATAGTTGCAATATTTCAAAACAGACTTTATAAAATACAGCTTCACTGTCCAACTTCAATAAAAACTGGAAAATGCACATCACTTTCAATAAAAATCATAAAATACCCAACATCTGATAGGTATTAACCCAGTCAATGAATCAGAAGGCCTACTTCCTGATGGGGGAGGAATATTATGCCCTATCCATGCCATCGATGGCCTTCAGTTTAATCCTGCTTTACCTTTTACCTCTTAATAATCATTTTATAAATGGTTAAGTACTTACCATAATGTGATTGAAATGCCTGCGGTTTGACAACCTGATTACAGTCGTTACACACCACCAAGTAGAAATCATCATGGGCTGGACAGAAACCAAATATTGGCATGTCTGCAACAAAGAAAAAGAGCACCACTCACTCATCTGGTTCTGATTGGTATGAAACCATTTGGAGGGAGCAACACCTTCAACAGGAGCTGCCTTATAAAGTGCACCAGGACAAATATCACTCCAGATTAAAAGTAACTGATGTGGCACACCATGACTATTAAGAGAGAAGTCAAATCAGGCTTACAGAGACACTTTATAAAGGGTTAAAATAAAGCACATCAAAAATCATTATTATGAGGGGAAACAGACTAATCTATTAAAATGCAAACAATAAATACATTTGCACAACAAAGCAATTTTAGATAAACTCTACCACAAGTTATGGGGAGAATCTGCAATCATATAAAACACTTAGTAATTCACAAAGCTGTACCACCCACTGTACCATTTTATGGTTGTATATGTTTAACCATGCATTCTATTCCAGCCATCTAGGCCCTGAGTTCTATGGAACAGTTAGAAAAGAAAGACTAGGTTTCAGTAAAGAGTAGAATTGCTAGTTTTGCCAGCATTTAATACAAAGAAAATTATACTATTTTTTTATAGTTACTATTATACTATTTTTTTCAGGTTACTACCAGCTCTGGTCCTTTTGCTTATATACTGATGCTACTAGACAGACAAACTGAACTTCAGTACAAACACAGCATTTCAAACATTAATCTCAGTTTATTTACCAGAATGGGTAGTTGTACAAGTTGGATTATTTTTTTTACATTAAAAAAATCAACTTAATTAAAATGTAAAAGTGAAATTAAACTATCTCCATATAAAAAAACTGAAAATAACTCAATACCTGGTAAATATGGTTAACTAAAAAGTCCCAACCATGAACAATTAATTATTAACAACAATTTAGGAACAGAGTTATAAAAGTTCAGATCCAGAATCTAAACTTTTTAAATATTTCAAAATTGGTGATTTTAAACAAGTATTTTACATGCCATGCACTACTGAGAATATATATCTGCAATAGATGGATAATTATCATACTTCAATTAAGCAAACGTTTTAGTAGACCAATTACCAAGTTTATAGGGTAAAAAGAAAATCTAAAAAGCTGATTAGCACCTGCTTTTTTTCCTATAAAGATTTAATTTCACACTTTCTCCAGCTTGGATGATCTTCCTAGTTTTAAAGGGAGAAGAAAAATGCCTTAAAGGGATGTCAAGTGATGATAATCTCTAAAATATCAAATTACTTGATCTAATATCTACACATGGCTATAGCTCAGATTTCTTATATTGAACAGTTTCTATTACATTGAATTGAACAGATACCTATATATAAATCTGAAACATACCAGGGTCCAGCATGATTCTGGGATGTAGTTGCAGCACTGAATAGTTTCTATGTGCTATTATCTCATTTTATCCTCACAGCTATGTAGGAAGATAACCTTATATCCCCACTCTAAAGAGGAAACTGGCTCACAGAGAGGTGAAGTGCTTTGTCTATGGTCAACAATTGGGATTTGATTTTGACTCATAATGATGGCTTGGATTTGTCCCTCTTTTTTTTTTTTCCTTTCTTTTCTTTTTTACTGACCGGTAACGGGATCGCAACCCTCAGTGTCGTGCCCGTACCGGGGACTGGCAACGGGATCGCAACCCTCGGTGTTGGGCCCGCACCGCGCTCAGCCAGTGAGCGGGAACCGGTCTCCACATGGGATCCGAACCCTCGGCGGGAGCGCCACCGCACTCCCAAGCGGCACACTCTCCAGCGCGCCACCGGGCCGGCCCGGATTTGTCCCTCTTGAAGACCAGAGGAATAATGATTTGTAGACATTCCTTCCAGATTCCAATTCCAATAAATTCAAATGCGAGGGCTGAACATCTTTTATAAACTGACCAAATAACGTAAGAAGCTTCCAGTAGACTGCTGCTGACTTCTGTGACTAAGTATATTTAATGAAAAATAAGAGCTAAACAATGCGCTATTTTCCTTGAAAGCATGCCCACATTGAATTAAATATAGTACATGTGGGAAAAAGGGAAAGGTTATATCCATGCAATGATACACATGTAATAAGCCATTTTCCATTGCTATAGTTTCTTGACATGACATTTCATTTTTAAAAATAAAAATTTAAAGTAATTTACTGTAAGTTCCATATACCCCTGTGCTAAATTCCTTGGATACAGAACTATTAATAAAGAAAATCCAAATTACAGAAATGGTATAACATTCGTAAATCACAAATAAAAAGTATGAAATGTCTATAAATATCAAATGAATAGTTTCATTAATGAAATCAATTAGTTTTATTAATTAAATAGCAGTTTAAATAAATGGTCTTGATTTAGTTTTAGACCTCTACAATATGCTGGTTTGTGTGGTTTCCCACAGTGCTCAATGTCAAGCAATGCTGTTTAAAACACATTACTTTGTCAGATACCAGACACTTCTGGGGACTAGTCCCCTACCTCTTTAAAAATAAGGCAACTTAAAAAAAATTAAAAAACTGTACTGATCCTTTCAAGGAACAAGGATTCAATTTACCACCATAATGTTTATGTAGAGAACCATTATTTGGTTACCCTGGTTCCTTTGATCCTTTTGTGAGACTTAAGACTAGTAAAACTAAGAGGGTAGGGATCATTCTGTAAGGGACCAGGACTGCATACTTCTGTAAAAATTTCAATTTCCTCAGCAACTTAAGATCATTTGCAACTGATGATGACAGTAATAACGATAATCATAGTGATAAACAATTGACATTTACTGAGAAACTACTATATGCTAGGCCCTGTCCTAAAGCACATTTTATATGGCTTATCTCATTTGTTTCCAACAATACACTACAATATAATCCTCATTTTACTTATAGAGAAACAAACTTGTTTAACAGCACCATGCAAGAAAGCACAACCAGCACTTGGGTTTGTGTGACCTATAAAGTTCAGGTACTCATCTCTCATTAGCACACTGCATCTCCCTAAAAAGCAGGCACATGCACACATGACCATACACACAAACAAACACCCTGTGGAAAGAAACCTGGTATACTTAAACATAGTTCCTATTATAAAAATCTAAAGCAACTTTAATTTTAGCTTTTTAAATTCTTTACTTTCAGATAGCCATATTTGGAAGTAAGCTAGAGGATACAAAATAATTTAAATAAAATGTCTTCTTCAGGGGGAATAAAAAACCCAGTTCTATATCCTTTTTCTGCAGTGGGACATTCCAGAGGCCTTCAGAGGCCATAGCAACAGGAACAGTGTGGAATGTTGTAGCAACAAAAAGAAAATAAAAAATTTGTGTGAGAGACAGTATGTATGTTTCTGAATATTTTTAAGGCATAAATTCACAATCAGCCCAGCTGCAAATTAACATGTGGGTCTTGCCCAAATGCAGGGAAAAAGCTTGCTTTACAGCAGAAAGTAAAATATTGGGTTGATAAAAATGAGTTCATTATTGAATTTTTAAGATTTACAAAATACACTTGAAATATATATCTTAAATTATTAATTATGTATTCAAAAATAATGAAAAGTTTTAAAATTATACTTCTGAATATGGATTCCTAACTAATTCATGAATTCCAAACTGATTTGAAAGAATGGATTTTGTTGTTGTGTAAGCCCTAAATCTTCCCAGGATTTGGGTCACCCCTATGTTCCAATTAGTGAGTAGCCCAGCACCCATATCTAGGCCATCATGTACTTTGGCGACCCCAGGCCAGCAAACTAGGAAGGACTGGGTATTAGCACACAGACATGTGAGCACATGTGTGTAGAACTCCAGTTATATGCAGAACGACGGCCCTCTGTGGAAACTGGACCCCAAACCATGGTAAATGCATTTAATTCCTTTGGTGTTGTTATCTCCATTTTGAGGACTGTGCTCAACAACAATAAAACCTGAATGTTTTAGCAAAGCATTTAACGTTTGCAATATCTTGAGTGTCTCCCTTCTCCCACCTATCCCAATGTAACTTCTACATGCCAATGACTCCCACATTTCTATCTTCAGCCCAGACTGCTCCCAAGCTCTGTCTAGACTCACATGTTGGACTGCCTACCAGACACTGCCATGTGGATGTCTTACATATATCTCAAACGGAACAAGCATGTCCAAGAGAACTTTGCTCTTGACCCTGCCCTGCTCCTTGCCCACAACAACCTTCCACCTTTTGGGTAAATGATATTATTCATCCTTTAACAGCTTAAACTAAACACCCAGGTGTCATCTCCAACTCCTCTGTCCTTCATCACTCCTCTGTCCTGGCCACCGAAACGTCCAGTCAGCTCCATTCTAAACCCTCTGTCCACCTGTTTCCATTGCCACGGCCACTGCTACAGGGCCTGCTGCTAGCACTCTTCCACTGGACTATGGAAGAAGTCTCCTAAATGGTCTATAGTCCCCTCCACAAGGCTGCCAGAGTTATTCTTTAAAATCCTCCACCAGATCATGTCACTCCCGTGTTTGAAATTCTCCACTGGCTTCCCACTCTTCACGGAGTAAAATACCAGTCCTTACTACAGCCCCCAAGTACCTTCCAGATGTACGGCCACCTCCCTTTCACTCCTGTTCTCTTGTCACCCACTCTCTCTCTTGGCTCACTCTGCTCCAGGCACACTAACCTCCATTCTCTCCTTAGAACCAGAAATCTTTTTCCCAGCCAGGCTCTGCCCTTGCTCTTCGTAAGATGCCTGGCACATTCTCACACATCAAGTCTCAGCTCAGCTCTTCAAAGGGCTGCTTCCTCCCTCTCTTCAGTTAGTCCCTATCGCTGGTATTTTAAGCAGAATGGCTAAGAGTATGGGCCACTCTACTGCTCTGAATCCTGGTTCCCTCACTCAAGAGATTTGACCTTGAGCAAGTTCTATAACTTCTCTGAACTTGTTTCTTTAGCTGTCAAATAGTGATGATCATAGAATCCACTTCACCAGGTACTTTACTGGGTAGAAAAATTAAGAGTTAATATATGCAAACTCTTAGAAGGGTATCTGGCTCCATAAAGTGCTCACTCAGTATCTCCCCACAGCCTGTGA